AGTGCGAGGTTGGGGAACGATGAGGTTGGAGGCCGTGGATGGGAGGTCACCGGAGGTGATGAGGTTGTGGATGGTTTGGGAGATGATGGTTTGGTGCTCAGGGGTGGGGTCATGATCAAGGGGCCGGTAGGAGGAGGTGTTGGAGAGTTGGCGTCTGGCCTCGGCGATGTAGAGGTCAGTGCGCCATACTACAACTGCGCCTCCCTTGTCCGCGGGTTTTATGGTGAGGTTGGGATTGGAGCGGAGGGAGCGGAGGGCTGCACGTTCTGCAGGGGAGAGGTTGGAGTGGGTGAGAGGGGTGGAGAGGTTGAGGCGATTGATGTCTCGACGGCAGTTGGAGATGAAGAGGTCGAGGGAGGGTAGGAGGCCTTGGGGTGGTGTCCAGGAGGAGGGGGTGTGTTGGAAGCAGGAGAAGGGGTCAGTAGAGGGAGGGTTAGGTTCACGGTTGAAGAAGTAAACGTGGAGGCAGAGGCGGCGGAAAAACTGCTCAATGTCCAAACGTGAGCGGTATTCGTTGATCTGTGGGTGGAGGGGGACAAAGATGAGCCCTTTACTGAGGACTGACCGTTCGTCATCAGTAAGGGGTAGGTCTGGGGGGATGGTGAAGACTCGGCAGGGCTGGGTGCTGCTGTCTCCTCTGGAGCTGCTGGCTGTGGAGGCTGTGGGCGGAGTTGCGTCGGCGTGCACTGAATTCAATCCAGTTAATCCCATAACTATCCCATAGGGGAAGAAACTATCCAAGAATGATACCCTCATTCAAACAACCTTCTTAATTTTATGAAGCTTTAGATATGCTGTAAGCATCCCAGACATTTTAAGGATCTTGGATTTCTCTCCTCAGAAAGTATATACTTTCCCACCTAAAGGAGTACGCAGGGCAGTAGGATTAATTTCAGTTCTAACAAAATTACCCAAATGAGACATTCACTAATTTTATTAATAGAAATTAGCAAGCAATATACTTTAAGTAGATAGGTTAAGAAACATAGGAATGAAGTAGGCCACTCAGCCCCTTGAGCCTGTTCTGCCACTTAATAAGATCATGGACGATCTGTGGCTAACTCCACATGCCTGCTTTTGGTCTAAATCCCTTAATAGCTTTGATTAACAAAAATTTCTCTCTCTCGGATTTAAAATTAACAACTGATCCAGCTCCACTGCTGTGTGTGCAAGAGGGTTCCAAATACGTGCCAACCTTTGTGTGTAGAAGTGCTTCCTAACATTTCTCCTGAACAATCTGGCCCTAATTCTACGACTCTGGCGCCTAGTTCTCGAATCCTCAACCAGTGGAAATAGTTTATTTTTATTTATTCTATCTTTTATATTTTATAATATCTTGAAGACTTCAATTACATCATGCCTTAACCTTCTAAATTCTGAATAAAACAAGTCTAATTTTACAATCTCTCTTGATAACCTAGCTCCTGAAGACCAGGTATCATTATATTCCGTCTGAGGCCAGAAGTGTGGTGTGCAGATCAGCTCTCAGTACTCCAAGTGGGGTCAAACCAAGGTTTTGCATAGCTGCAGCATTATTTCAGCACCCATGTAGTCCAGTCCGCTAGATATAAAAGCCAGCAATCCATGAGCCTTGATTATTATCTGCACCTGTTTTGTGGCATTTTAAAGGCACCTGAACTCCCAAGTCTCTTTAGACATCTACAAAATTGCACATTAACTGCTATGCCAAAAAAGAAATCAAAAGATATAATACCAAATCCAATAGAATCAGTTTGATGTTGTTTAGAAGTATTCAAAAATATATAGGAATACCCAAGAATAAAATATTCACAGACCTTTACAGTTTTACCTTAAAGCTCCAAGGGAGTAAATTATCTGCTGCCAGCAGAAATCTTTAGAGGAGTATTATCTGTAGGTTTCTAATACATCCAAAATCTTCAGTGAATAGGTCTTATTTTTGTATTGTCTGCTTCCTCCACTTTGCAAATGTGTTAACCTTCTGTACAGGTTCCTCCCACTTTCATGTGATGCTGTATAACTATCATTTCTCAATCATTTGGTGCTAATTCCGTTTTAAAGTTGCAAGCATTTATCTCAACAATTTGTTTGTGATGTCTTATAACACTGATATGAGGATTTCTTTTACTTTTCCCTTGTACTTTGCTAAAGGTTTATCAGTTAAAACATTTTTCATTTCTCTGTCTTTAGCTAACATTTTCATCTGTTTTTGACACGTGTTTGATCCCGGAGTCTAATAGTATTAATTTGTTAAGAGTCTTCAATTTCATCTCATCAATCGGATACTTAAGGTTTTAAGTTCCTTATTGCTCCTGTAGTTAGCATCTTATTTTCACATCTAGATGTGATAGTGTCAGGTCTCTTTCCAGGCCACCTCCTGTGTGAGGAAATTATTGTTTATACCTTTTAGCTTTGTCTGTGCTGAGTACGAGTCTATTAACTTAATTAATAGCATATGTGTTTTATCTCTATGTTCTCTACCAGGTACATCCTAATTTTGAAATGAACCTTTCTGGATTTTCATGTTAGCTGACATGGAAACTTTAAATGGGTAATTCCATGTTCCACATGAATCCTTGCCTTTAATTTTTTTTTTAAACATCGATGTGTGTCCTGCCTAGTTACATTTATTTCCTCAATCAAATAACATTGCTAAACAGATACTGCTGCATGATACCCTCCATGACAAGCAAATGCCAATCCATGCTCCTGAGCCATCATTTACATGATCTAAGGCCTCTTAAACCCTAGATCTATAAACACTCATATTATTCACAATGGAAGGCACTTGGGTATACATGAAGGTGGAAGATGATAATTTTTGAATAATCTCTAAGGTAACTCTTAGTCTTACAAATTTGATAGTGAAAAACACTCCCAATTCAAAAAAACCCATTCACAGGTCATAAGTTTCAAGCGTTAATCTCATAAAAACAAACAAAACATAGTTCAGACTCACAAAGGCAGCTAATGTTTTAATACAGTCTTAAAACAATTAATCAAACTGTGAACTCAGAACCCTTGCTGAGATAATTCCAGCTTTTCATTATCAGCTGAGCATTCACAACATAATGCTGACATTTCTCCCCCAAGGGATATCAAAGTGTCTATTGAGACTGCATAGGCAGATGCAACTTTTTCCCTCAACTATGCCAATCAGTCAAAACAATCCAGTGAGTTTTTAAAAATCCTCAGATTTAAAAATCCCCATCAGCCATTCTTCAAAGGTCTGCAGAATCAGTAAGAATCCATAAATCCGATCTTGTTTACTGTTGGAATTCCTCTGTTACAATTGCAACATCTTTCACAGAACAAAACAGCTCATTAACTATTAATTTTGTGCCATGGTAAAGATCTTGTTTAGGTTTTAGGATTCCTAACAACATTAGAATTTCCCCTTAAATGTTGTGTGAAGTGGTTAAAGTGTTATTATCTCTCGGTCAGAAGGGCTGGGTTCAAGTCATACCTGCTCCAGAGGTGTTTGATAATACATTCAAATCTTTTGCTAAAGAAGTATCTATAACTGCTCGTTCTTGGAATTTATGTTTGTACGGTGATATTGTCCAGCGAAGTTAGGTTGATTGAAAATCTGGAGGGTATGGGATGTTATAATCTTCATCTATTGAATCATAAGAGTGCTGACTAGTTTTTTCTTAAGTCATCCGACAGCTTTTTTTGGTCATTTTTCCTTCAGTGAATTTTCATTTTCAGCATAATAAAGTACCATTTTCTCACACTTAACCATTTCCATCAACACATCCAACTTGCCATCTCTCCCACATCATATCCTCCCCTTCCATGTTATCTTTAATGACATTCCATCCCATTTCTACATCCCTTCCACGTCATTCACATTCAGCTCTTAAAATCCCTATCACTCACATAAACCCAGCCGTTTCCCTCAAGGAAACCACCCCTCCTGATTGGCTGAGTATGGGTAGAGAACAAGAACAGTGGAAGGTAAGGGGAAACCACGGTTACTAACAAAATTTGCAGCTGCAAGGCCAAATGCGCACTAGTCGTTTGCGCACCTCATGTGTGCCAGGCACTGTCTACAAATAAACCTAACAAAAGACCACTCCTTAAATTAACAACCAAAGCAGTCTAGAGAGATAAAAGCTGACTATTAATAGAAGGATATGAGATAGGCTTTAATTTAGTTAATCACTAAAAATTCCAACAGGAATAATGCCCGGAATTATGTAACAGCTTATTTCTGAACATTACACCACAGAGATTTGAAAATATGTACAAAGGTAATTAAAATGTAGTAAGGGGGTAGAAACTGGTTTGCCTTGTGCTCATTTTCTGCATTGGTCTCACTGCAAAATTTGTTTAGGTGTCTCTAGAAGATAACTCACACATCTTAGGTCTATATAATAGAAAACGGAGGTCTATTGCCTATAACATGCTAGTAATTAGCTGAGCTAGTGACAAGGCTGTGCCCCCTTCAGCACTCTTCATTGGACCCACTGGTCACTAATGAGACATAAATAATGTAAGTCACTTTCTCATAGAAACATCCTGGGGAAACTAGGTGCAGCAATTTTCCTGAAGACTTTTGCAGGTCACTGCTTAGCCTCCCTGCGACTCCTGTGGTTGCTTCTCTTCTTGATAATGTAACAAAATACTTAGATCAGTCATTATATGGTCTAACGATTGTTCCCTACAACCAAGCCATGCTATGGACTTAGACCCCCATATGAGTTAATTATGCTAAACTATACATCAATGAGCTACAGGGTGTTAAGCAATCATGGAAACTGCACTTCTAAAATTCTTCTTGTAAAACACAGACAGTAGAAAGATTCACAAATCAAGCAAAGAACTGAACAAAAGCTTTGCTCTAATCATTTCCAGCTGGAAAATTTTAATTACGAATTACAACGTATCAGCACCTGTTTTTAGATAATTCATTCTTGACTCCCGGTTCAGAAAGATTTATATGAAAGCAACAGAGAACATGAATTAAAATTTGCAGCAAACCAAAGCATAATGCATTATTTTCTACATGTACTTACGGTTGCTGGAGAAGCACGTGTTGTGTGGCTGACTGGGTGATTAGATCCATCCATTGAGCCGCCTATAAGATAGGCACCCCCTGAGCTGCTGATTATCTGACCGCCTGTAACGCCCATTGGAATACCGCCAGTGCCCACCATGTTGTGGGACGAGACCACTGTTGTCACCTGGGCAGAATTTCCTTGGGAGTCAAAATATGTTCCTCCCGTGTTCTGGCTATACATTTGGGCCTCTGAGTAAGGATAGGTAGTTGAGCGTCTGAAGAGAAGCATCAAAAGCAAAATTTAGTATTCTTACATTGTAGATCTTCCTACAGTATTTTCAACAATAGAAAGTTAGATATATCAATATTGACATTATGAAAAAATGATTAAAACTATATGTCGGTGTTTCAACATAGCTTTCAGTTAGAAAGTTGAGACAGAGCAAAATCTTCTGGTCTCCAGACATCAGAGAGCAGACAAGAGACGGAAGATGCATGTCAAGACTCTTTGTATTCCAATGTACAGATCTATGTAGGAACTGCCTAAGAACTTCCAATGTCCAATGGGCAATCCTCCTAACTCTAAGTTGATTGCAAAATTGCAGGGCAGGTCCACAGTATCTATCCCTATGGTTGTGCAGTAAATTTTAAAATGTCTAAATTTCATCTAATATCTGGGTAATTTCACAACTGAGGCTCCAATTCTGACCCCCAAACTACCTACCGAAAACAGACTACCCTTAGATCTGACTCAGCTACACACCCTCAACATCACCCCTCACCTCACCAAAACGAAATTTATGACTCTACCACTCCCTAGCACAGACTGTGGCTTGGCTAATTCTATCAGTTTTACTACACCCGTACCACCACCAAACCAACCGGACCACCACCCATGACCAGTCAACTACACAATCTACCATATAACTCAACTTACCCACTTCACTCATTCATCTACTCACCCCTTCACTACCATTCAAAGGCAGGTTCTTTAAACTTAACCGATGGCAGATAAATGGGAGACATGTCCTGCCTTGCCTCAACTCTGCTCTGATGGAGGTGCCCAAGGGCACTATGCCATGCTTTTCTATGACAGCTGGGTTTGGAGGTTCCCAGATGAACGTGAGCAGTGTCAATTTGAAAGTACTTTCGAATGAAGTGGCAATCTGCTTAGCGTTGCCACGGCTCAGATGATGCAGCTTTGAGTTGCAAAATGCATGCCGTTTCATAACGCAACACTGTAGATAACACTGATTAAAATGAATATAATGGGCCAAATTTTCTAGTCCCAACACATGCTGCTCTGTGGGAAGTGCTTAGGAAGTTTCAGCTTCCAATGGGCAATTTCCCTGTTCCCCAGGACCCTCTGAATTTGTCCAAACCTGAATCACCTTTGGACAATTCCATGATATGTACCTTCGGTAGTTACCAAGGTCAAATTAGAAAGATTAAAACCTGGCTCAACAACAATAACCAATTCCCAATTACACCTCCTGAATCCTTCACAACTGTCCTTACATGCCATCAATTCCTGACTACATACCAGACCAACCAATCACGCCCCAAACCAGGCAACAATCTCGAGACCCAACTCAACCACATCTTCATGACTAAACACCCAGGCTATGTCCTCAACTACACCTTAACCTTACAACCATCCAATTATCCAGCTTCCCACTCACCGACCTCACAAACCATCCTGACCATCCAACTATACCTGACCCAAATACCCTCCCATCTACACCTCACACCTACCCACCTCAATCACATATCTACCACTTTCTCTCACTCACCTCCCCACTTACGATAATTACTGCCACTGATAACATCTAGTCCAATGTTTTACGCTTTTAAATTGGAAAATAAAAGCAAATTCTTAAAAAACAAAATTTCTTAAATGCGTACATAGCAAACAATTAATTAATAAGGAATCAATTTCTATTATGGAAACCCTGGCAATTATAGTGAACTGCATTAAATTTTTCCTCAGATACTGACCAATGAAATGATCAATCAAATTTTGATTCAAGCAAAATATATGACATTCATTCACAAATCACTTTAATACTTTTGATTGCCATACAGCATTTCTATGCGATTGTACAACATTAACACATACAGATACGAAGAGCACCTTTCTTCACGTTTCATCCCTTCCAAATACATTAAGATAAAATATGCAACTTGTCCTCCAGAATTTTGATCAAGTGTAATCTATAGAAGTGCTACTTGAAAACACAATAGTTAAACAGGAATATAATCTACTCAGTTGATCGATATTCAATTTCAACACTGGCAAAACTCATGTCATGGAGTAAGGAAAATCAAGAATGGTTTACTCAGTGTTATATTAATTGGATACTTGGATACAAAACAATATGACTGGGCCAACAGTTTTTTTTTTAAATGCATAGCTTATCCATTTGGCAAAGTTATACTGAACACAGGAATACATGGTCCTGACCACAGAAATATTTTCATCACAACTGTTCCTAGTTGTTGCCTCCTTCCTTGCCAATATGGAACTAAACAATCCAAATGTGGGGCATTACAAATGAAGGATTAAAAGTCAGATTTGTTTATGACTTAGTCATCAATAATTTTAACAATAAAAAATATAATCAACAGCACCAGTGTTAATTAATGCATGTTGTCACTATTGTTGGGCTTGAACGCATAACTCAAGTTGAAAAATATTGAATAAAATGTCCTCGGAATCCTGATCAGTTAAGCTTCAAGCAAGTGAAAATAGCTGACAATGGCAGAAAAAGCAATAATTTGGGAGTAAACAAGCCATCTGAGCACAAGGCTAACTCCATTTTTTTAAACACTTGGACATGCATTGTCTATGGCATTCTAAATCCAGGAGTTAACTTTTCAGTCCTACCTGTCAAATTTGCTAAACCTTTGCAAAACATTTATTTTGTGTCTAATGGACTTAAATTCTCAACACAGTGGTGTTTCTTCCCCCCATTTTCCTTTGACTCAATTAATTTTCTATCTATGCTGTCAGTGCTCTTAAGGTACAGTGACTTTTCCACTGACTAAAAACAGTGTTTAAATGTCAGGCAGGAGCTCAGTCTGCTTCTTCAAATTAAACTTATTGTTCTTGGATCACATCTCATGGTATACTAAGTTAAACCTATTTGAGAAAGCACAAAGAATTCTTCAGCCTCTAATATAATTATTCTATATTTTAATGTTGCATAAAGGCTTCAAAACAGAAATTCATTTATTAGATTAACAATAGCAATTCATAAATTAATGGTGCATGAACACTTACACCACTCATGCTTGCCCAGATCTTCGCTATCGAGTTTTTCAGTGGTGGCAACAGATTGAAATATCATTATATTCTTATTTGTTAATCTTGATACTTCAACAATTCAGTGCATTTGCAAAGCCACTTATCTGCTATTTTGTGGTTTACATGAAGCCAATCAATTTGCATGGAAATATTTAGTATTAAATCTCTTAAATTATACTATACTGATAGGGATTGTGACTAACACACAGAGTAATGTGCACCAAAAGTACTCTGGTTGCCTTAGTATATAAAATGAGACATAGAAACACAGTGTCAAATATGAAAAAGATTTACAAGAGCAGCAAACTGTGGCATGATAGCCATCAGGAAAGATTGATCAAGTTGGGATGTTTGTCTCATGAAAAGATAAGACTTAGATGTATTGAAAACTATGATTGGTTGGAGAGGAAAATGTGGAGAGAATGTTTTTTCCGCTTACTATAGATTCAAAAACAAGGACCAAACAGAAAAGACAAATACTCATGAATCTAAGGGGACATTTCTCTACTTAGAATGGTTAGTAAACCAGTGGAATGAAAACACAGGAAATGGCTGAGGCAAACAGCTTAGGTGCTTTCCAAAAGAAACTAGATACGTAAATGAGAGAACAAGGGGATTGAAAAATATACTGAAAGGCTGAGATGAAGTAGATGGAATGGGAGAGCCTTGGGTGGAGAATAAATACCACAGCTGAGCCAAATGTGCTGCATATTCCATACATGTAATGAAAAGTGTAGGCAGACACTAGAAATACTAGGAGAGTTACTCCCATACTTGTAAAGTGCAAAAGTTTTAGATGATCATATGTGGGGATTATATCTGTATTTGGACAATTTGTTAGCACATTAATACCAATCCTCATTGAAAAGCTACCATCACTTTTGGAACTGGTGCTGATGTCCTTTAAGGGTGTTGAGGTTGGTTGGCTCGCCGAGCTGGTTTCTTGTTTTACAGATGTTTCGTTACCAGGCTTGGTAACATCCTCGGTGCAGCCTCCGATGAAGCGTCGGTGTGTTTTCCCGCCTGGTTTTTAAACTCTGGGATCTTGTAGATGACATTGGTCCTGTCCATGGCGGGGAGTGGGTCTTTAGTTCAGGTGAGCAGTTGTCGTAGGGTTGATGTGGGCTTGTGTGCCACTCTGAAACCCAGTGGTCGAAGGAATCTTGTGGGGAGTTCCGACGTATTCCTGATGTAGGGTAGTGTGATGAGTGTGTCGGGGCATGTAGAATCTTTCTGATGCTATTCATGTAGGTTTCCTACATGAACAGCATCAGATAGATTCTACACGCCCCGACACACTCATCACACTACCCTACATCAGGACCTACATGAGCACTAAAGACCCACTCCTCGCCATGGGCAGGACCAACGTCATCTACAAAATTCCCTGCACAGACTGCGAGAAACACTACATCGGACAAACAGGAAGGAAACTAACAACAAGAGTACATGAACACCAACTGGTTACAAAAAGACACGACCAATACTCACTTATCTCAATCCACATGGACAAGGAGAACCACCACTTTGACTGGGACAACACCAAAATCCTGGGACAGGCTAGGCAGAGACAAGCATGAGAATTCCTGGAAGCATGGCACTCCATGAAGCATGCTATTAATAAACATATTGAACTCGACCCCATATACATTTCACTACGAAGGAAAACCGTAAGTGAGGCAATCCATCTCAACGGACCCCAGACTTTAAAAACCAGGCGGGAAAACACACCGATGCTTCATCAGAGGCTGCACTGAGGATGTTACCAAGCATGGTAACGAAACGTCTGCAAAACAACAAACCAGCTCGGCGAGCCAATCAATCTCAACACCCACAACCCAAGCTACAGATCTACTTCAAAACTTTAGTGATGTCCTTTAAATCCAGCAGAGTGCTAAAAATTCATAACTTCTCTACTCTGGCAAATGGCTAGGATAGCAACCCAGAGTTACACCCCTGAAATGCTGT